GTGGCTGTAATATTGCAGCCATTGCAAGTGCACAAGGATGGGGTCCGGTCGTGCAAGCCGTTCGTGCACTGTGCTATGAATCCGGTGACCTCGGTTCGATTCCAGGCCATGGCTCACATCAGTGGCAAGTGGTATCTGCATCTGTCCGAGGTAAACCCTTCAACAACCCACACTGACCAGCGTAAAGTATGGTCACATAAGCCACATAACCCACATGGCCAATACAGAAAGCGGAGGTTTTCATCCAGCAGCGCACTGGGATGTTCATTATACACGATATAAGTTAAAGCTACTTTGCATGCTGCAAGTTCCCAAACGTGTGATACGTAATCACCGTGGTGCGTTACACTGTCAATAACTTGGAGGAGAAATGGTAAGAATTAGCTTGCAATGTTAAACATTTCACACCCTAGAATACATAGCATTCCACTGCCGGTGTGAACACCAGTTTGCGTAATGGATTTAATACAATGGCAGGAAGACACTTTGCTGGTCTAACATTTCACAGACCTTTGAAAATTCCACAATCAATTATAGAAACAAATTCCTGTCCATCACTCTGCACATGCCGAGGGCGTGGTGCCCGCGAGGCAACAGGAATGCCCGCCCTCAATCACACCACGGGTAAACAAGCACGTGATCATGCATACTCGTTCACACAAACACACACACAAAGACAAAGACCCTCCCTATAGCCTTAACAAACTGTTGGGGCTCGTGCTGATAGCACCCATGAAGGCCGGCACGGCACACGAGAGGGTGTGTGACCAGCAACCAAGCCCGGCCGCCTTTGTCTCCCCAGTGGCGATGTTTACACACTACAACAGGTACTCATTTGAGGCCGAGTCGACCTAGGGGGAGGCCCAGGACCCGTTCAGATTATCGTCACCGGTGTTGGGCCGTGAGCGGGAATCGACGAACCCGGGTCGCCAGGTCCACAGCGCTGCGCACTCCACGCACACACTTCCACAAAGGTGGAACGTTTTACAAAGCAATACACCAGGCAGGGAGTTTGTGTCAGGACATCACACCTGAGTCACTAAGTGAGCTCTATCCGCCTATAACTCACTGCAGCACCATCAGCACACAGACAATCATGAGAGATAACGATGACGTCAAGGGGGGCTGCGGTGATCTCGCTGGAAGAGAGCCATTGGGGGGGAAAGAGAAAAAAACTTCACCGCAAATATTGACCGTGGTGGGCTGTCGTGACGCATGAGCAGCAGTGTTCTCGAGGTCACAGCTCAATACGAGATCGGCGCTTATTAAATCAAATCAACAATAACAAAAAAAATTCTCTGAATTGTGCACGAGGCGGAATGCAGGACAACAACCATCTCGTTGTTGTCTTGTTGTTGTCGTCGTTGTTGCGGTTGTGTGGCCTCAGAAAGAAACAAAAAAACCAACATAAATAGTGGGCGGGAGACGTCGTGTTTAACCTTACACGCCACATGTCGCACGCATTAATCATCCGCTGTCACTGGGGAATGGCTAAGTGGGAAGTCCTATGTCGAAGCGCCGAGAAAACAGAGTTATCGGGCTTAAACAACGCTTGACAGATTGCGCACACAATGGGGGTTTTGCTCCCCCCCCCCCACCACCTCATCTATGAACGCATGGCGTCACCACGCGAATCTCAGCAGATGATAAGCACGGCCCGGCTGGGTTCCCACTGGGCCACCCTGATCCACCTCCCCCCCCATCCTGTCGCTCTCAGGTCCAACGTCCGTCCACACAATTCGCGCATACCCCGGGCACATTGACATTCTCCAGCGAATATTCTACCCTTGCGCATGATGGCAGCAATACGTTCAGCAGCTAGATGACAGCGTCACGTTCAGTGGCTAGATGACAGCGTCATGAGTCTTCTAGCCAATACCAGAGGGGCTTCACAGGAGAGTTTGTGCAGTTGTGCTATGTATGTTCATTGAAATTATTTCGCTAATCGGAGGTGCTCAACGTACCTCCCCCGTTGGCCCATAATACGGGTTGCGTGGACAGTCGCCCTCCTGTTGCTTTTCTCTTTAATATTGCAGATATGCGCAAGAGGCCTGTTGATGTTCTGATGCGACGGTTCCAACAGTGTATTCGAGGAACAATGTCAAAGCCAAGAGGTGCGATGTCTCGGACTCGAATTAGGTGTTGTTGCCTAGATGATGGTATTAGTTGTGTTTAAGATACTAACACGAAAATACATAACAGGTGGGCCGTGAGAAGGCTACGATCGCAACACAAACGCAGCGATGCAATGCGTCAGCGAGGCATTAATCCATAACTATGCTCGTGGAAATATATTTTTTTAAATGTCTAAAATACATTTGCATTTTACGTTACGTATATGCACACAATACACGTATGGAAAACAAATCAACCGTATGTTCACAAAAGTCGGATTACATGAAAACATGTACTCATCACTGTGTGCACAGTCAACGTAAAATAAAATAACTTTTCTCCATTTGTTTTTCTTATTGACCACGCAACAATGCGTTAAAACCAAACCTCAATCCGTATTTAACAAGTTTGAAAAAGGTTCGCCCCTCGACAGCAGCAGTATGCATCACACGTGCGAGGAAAGACTTTTTTTGTTTTGGCGGGGCACAGGTCAAAGCACGTCCCCTTTACCACTCCAGGAAAACTCTTACATCACAAGTACACTTTGAGTCATTAGAAACACATTCGTTAACCGGCCTGCAACGCAACGCTGTTGCTTGACGATATCACGGAGATGTGCGTATCACGCGCCTGCGTTAAGATTATTTTAGATTATTTTGCTGCTATAAATGTCCAAATGATGGGTCACTTTGTTGAGCTATCATCTGTTGCCAGATTGCTTCTGAAGAATAAGCTAATACCTCAGTGGGCTTTGCCTGGTAGGATGCTTTAATTGTGTCTGTATGTGTTTGGGTGATTTGTTTACCTGTATTGTACTTTGCACTGCTATCGTGTTTTTGTATTTTTGTTGTTGTAACCTTCTTACCCCGTGCCCCTACTGGACACCTGTGAAAAAGAGCTTTACAGCTCATTGGCATACTTACAAGCAAAGTCCATTGAGCTATTAACTTATTCTTCAGAAGCGACCTGACCACAGTTAAGAGTTCCAGATGGGTCACGATCTTAAAAAAGATTGAGCGTGATTTGACGTAGTTGTTCCAGACACCTACGTAGTCATCATATATGGCTCCGAGCAGCACTGTGCGTTGTGACCTTTGTCAATTCTTTATGAAATCCGACTGCGGAAACCCTAAATCGTACCTCCCACCCCCCTCCCCATAAAGTTCACCATGGGCCAAGATCCGGTCTTGACTCACACATTGCAGGTGGATGACCAATACATTCCTTGAGGCCAAAATAATGCGGATAGCAATGTTTGATCTTATCAGTGACTCGTTAAGTAATTTTTTTACAATACTACCCTAATAAACACGTGACACCAATGTGCATGGTACTCCGAAGAATGTCAAGTGATTCAGAACACATTCTATGGAAAGCACCGACCGTCAGATAGCACGGCTACCTCTTTAACCCTCACCACAAGCGTTGAGTGCGTATTTACACTCGCTTAGAGCAGACAGCGACGCCGAGATGTTACCACCGATTAAACTGTGATTTTACAGCCCTTTAACCGTGACTCTATAGTCCTCACGTGGAAACGTGTTCTTAATGTCCATAATTTTGCTTGCCAAGCAGCGTGGTGAAGTATGGTTAAGACGACCCAATGACCGACACGTCACATAGGATGATGGCCTTTGTCCAGCAGTGGACTGACACAAACGATAATTACATTGTTTACAATATATAATTTTCTAATTTTGCCATTGTTTATACCACGACTCCCCCTGCACGAGTATGTACGGCCACGACGAAAAGTTATCTTAAGTGAATAAATGAGGATTCCTTTATAACAGACGGCGCACACCCGTAAGTTACAAGCTGCTGTGGGTAACATCAACCTGCTGGCCTATGCTGCATGTTGACCCTGGCTCTGGAGGTCAGGGATCTGAACCCTGGCCATCCAGAAGCAGTCTCATCATCCCGAAAGATCCCAGCGGCGGGGCTTTAATCAGCTACACACACACAGCGTACTGCCCCCCCCTAACGAATGGTGCTATCGACCGATCCACAGCACGTGTCACAAACAACACACTTAAAGGTAAAACTTTACATCTAAAATAAAATCCGCGTTTTGAATGCTGCTTATGCTGCTGCTGCTGCTGTGCAAGTCTACTAGCCGTGACGAGCACGTGGAGTTCATACAAGTTGCAGCTAAACACACTGCGCATACAAATAATTGTGAAATTAAGTAGCCAACGTAGTTGCCCCCCCCCCCCCCATGAACAACCAGTACGTCGTAGACATTCTCATGAGAAAGACGCAGCAGTCGACGTCGAGCGACAACAAATGTTAAACCAGATTTAAACAAAGCACGGTTAAACCATTACTGGCCTCAAAACGATGTACTGCTGTAACTTACATTACTTTTGTCTTTAAATGAGAATGTCGCGTTCTGCGGTCTCGCTCTGCTGCATGCCACAAGTTCGACCAAAAGCGCTCGAGAAGAGACGCACGCAACCTCGCTGAGCACGCAAAGTCCAAGAATAGTCTCGGCGCTAATGCTCCACTCGCTTTAAGGCGACGTCAACTTACCCAACATAAATATGACAGATTCCTTCAAACACACTTTTCGGGTTTGTCCTGTGGCTCTTTGCTGCCGTTGACGGCGAGCAGCAGCAGCAGCAGTTGGCTGCTGCTGCTGCCTCCCCCTCCCCTTCTTGCTGCCACCCACCAACCCCACCCCTTTCGTCCCTCCTTCCCCGGCAGCTGAGTTTCAAAACAAGCCCCGCCAAGCTCCGAGCGAGGTCCCGGGCGGCCACGCGTGTCGATTCCGCGTTTCCCGCTTTTTTGCGCGTGTCCCCGTTCAAATCTCTCCTCTCCTGCGCTGCTCGATGGCTTTTTTTGTTTTGGCCGTCTTCACGACAAGCAACAAACAGCGACGATACCTTGGCATCAGACGATGCGGCGCCTCTCCGTGCGATCGACCAGACACGGACAGCGGAGAGAGCGAGAGCTGTGGACCCACCCCGCCTGCCTCCCTTCCTCCTCCTCCGCACCTCGCTCGGCTGCTGTAGCCGACGACGAAATTAAACCGGCGCAGAACAAAAGCCATGAAAGAATGCAGCAGAGTGTGACTCAGGGCTGGCTCCACCCACAAGGCTGACTACTCTCCACTCCTCTCCACATCCCTCCACCCCCACCCACCCACCCGGCATCCCTCCACCCCCACCCACCCACCCGGCATCCCTCCACCCCCACCCACCCACCCGGCATCCCTCCACCCGGCATCCACCCCCACCAACCCCACCCACCCACCCGGCATCTCTCCACCCCATCTCCATCCCTCTTCATCTCCCCCTAAAAAAAACCCCTCATCCGTGCTTAATTCTAGATTTGAAGCTTTCGTGACTGCAAGGATTCATACTCTTAGTTCTTTCGGTAAAGTCACGTAGGTAAAAAATGAAATTAAAATATAAAAAAAATAATAAAATCACGTGATTTTTTTCTTTTTTTATTAATTTTAATTTCAAAAATGAAATGAAAATCTAAAATGAAATTAAAATGACGTGATTTTATTATTTTATTTTTTTTATTAATTTTAATTTCATTTGTTTACCTACGTGACTTTACCGAAAGAACTAAGAGTACTCATCCGTGCTTCCCCCGGCCCGAACGCAAACCCAAACAAACGCCTCTCCCTCAAAATCTACCACAACGCCCCCAAACAGACTTTTCAATCAACATCCTTCCTTCCTTCCCTTGCCGAACGCTGTGTGTGTGTCTCTCTCTCTCTCCCTCGTGTCCATTAACCAGCCAGCATTTACGAAGTGATTAATATCATTTCCTCAAGAGGCACAAAGCCTCTGTGACCACAACCTGGAAACTGATACATATGGGAGAGAGAGAGAGAAAAAAACATACACAAAGGCGTGTTGTTTAGCAATGAATAACATCGGCGATGGAATTAACAGAAAATAACTCAAATGTGACCAATTCTGCCACTCCAATAAATCTAAATTTAACCAGAATTTACACAAATAGGAGGCACTACACAAAACCTAAAGAAAACTAAACAAGGGGAAAAAAACAACAAAATTCCTGAGACACTTAAGAATACTGGGCTTCAACTGAAGTATTTTAAAAACACTTTTCATAATGTCAAGTGGCTTGAGAAGTGCTTTATGGGATGGTCTACGGGAACATATGCCACTGAAGGGCCTATTAGAGGGCATCTAACCCGAACTCATTGCGAATGTTAAGATGACAGTATGGGGGCCGAGAAGTAAAGTTTTGTGCTTAAAAATAACATTCAAAACCATTTCTCAATGTCCCCCCCCAAAAAATAAAACTCCACAAAGACAGCTACCCAAAATGAATGGAGGCAAAATGCGCTCAAAGTATTTATCTAAAAAAAAATCTATAATAAATATTTAAAAGCCTGGATCGGGTCTGTATTTTGTTTTCCATACAGTAGCCGGCGTGAGGGGGGGGGGTGGTAGCTTATCACGATATGCTAATGAAACGTGGACGTGCAAAAATGCAAGCTGGGGGGGGACACGTAGCAGCAGCGCCCGTGCGTTGCCGTTTTGTCAAAAGCCCCGACCGGTTGCGGGTTGACACCCCCAGCTGCCCCGGGACAAAGGGACCCGCAGCGGCGCCCTAGCGCAGACACAGTCGCGCGTTGTTCACGCGCGCAACGTCGTGACGGCGCGCGCACGACAATGACTCTGCTCGTGTACAACGTGGATCACAATGCGTGCTGTACGCTCGCTCAGAGGGGGGGGGTGGGGAGGTAAAGGCGCAACCCTGCAAGTGTCTCGCTCACGCCAACTGCTGGCGGAAGGGCATCCGCTCGCGGCGGCTGTAGAGAGCCACTATCGATGGTATTTTGTCCTCTTCCACCCTGGATTAGCCATGTTTGTTTTTTGTGGTACAGAGTTAGTCTGATGATTTTAATCTACATTGTCTTATGGTTGTTATTGTTTGACTTGCATCCCACTGGGATTTTTTGCACACAGCGTTGAAATACGGTGGGTTTTTTTCTGGAAGACTTTGCTGTTTTCAGGATTTTGCTGTAGTCACTTTAAGATGTTTCTTGTTCATGTTTTGTTGCGGTTGCACCCGATTGAAGAGCTGCATGGCTCACAGGGTTATACCTAATAAATGAACCTGAAAACTGAAACTGACCACACACCTTGCAAGAGGAGCGAGTTGACTCTTACTTAACCCCAACTACGTGCAACCTGCCGGTCGACGAGCCGCCATGTACCTGTTTATGCTGATCGGTGGACATGGGGGGGGCGTTAAGAACGCGACCATTCCTTCAGACATAACGGAAGCGTCGACCTCTGGATTGTAACTCGAATGTTGCTAACCATCATACCGCGGCTGAATCTCTGGAGGTGAGGAGCAGCGTGAACTCACGACGTTAAAATCCCATCCACCTGGGTTCAATTCCTTGCTATGGCGCAGTAGTCAGCACTTGGCCGTTGTAGCTGGTCGCCTGTACAAACTTTCGGGCGGATCTTCATAAAATGAGTACAGGGTGCAAAGTATGAGCACAAGACCAAGGCATACATCTCCCACGGCATAGCCATGATGTAATGATTTACTCAGCCAGCCCTTCACCCCCTCCTCCAGCAATTGTATTAATTGTCACGATTCATAGTTGCAATAGGATGCAAGAAAACAGTACGTTATTTTTCGTGAACTTTTTATCTTCTCATTTGTACGGCTTGATTTAAACCATATTGTTCACTAGCGCGTATCAATTCCATATAAGTTGCATTAACCATAAATGATCAATTATTTCCCTACAATGTGATGCGGGTTATCGCGAGTGTACCCATCGATATAATCGCTGATTCGATGGATCGTTCCATAATTCGATGTATTGATATGTGCCTACCACTGCATCACCACCCCCATTGTGCACTGTGCCAGACTGATATGCGCTCACCAATAGCACTGGGAGATGGAGTGGTGGCGCAGCTGTTGTCTTGCTGCACCACGAACCCAACAACCTCAATTCAATTCCCAGCCACGGCTAATATCAGTAGTGATTGATATGTGAACCGGTCCTGATCCTCCACCCCTCATTTTTTTTACCAGCCTGCATTGACCAGCATGGTGAAGTATGGTCTAAAACAAAACCACATGACTGACATGGAATGGGGAGGCCTTCAACCAGCAGGGGACTGACGAAGAGTATTACAAGAGTCTTTCCTGTTCTAGGAGGGATTTTTGCAAGCTTGTCCAATGTATGTGCACGCATGCACCGCGGTGCTAATTAGTTTCTGCACCATAAATCGTGGCGTTTGCACAAATAGCTCATCAAAATACAGACAGCTTCATAACTGAACAGCCAACGCGGTGGTGTATGTTTTTTGAAACCCAACATTATAAAACGCAAAATCAACAAGCAAGAAAATACTTCACCCTACAAATAACTTGTGCTGTGAAAATATGAACTGCAGTCTGTTTTCCTGTAATGTGAAACACACCCCGTTATGAAAAAATCTCGTTATTATTAATCATATATAGTGTGGGGTAAAGCACAGTCTGCGATAACACGAGAGATGCGTACGCAGGCTGAACAAAGACTGAGGCGCGTGGGTAGCATCGAGAAGCATCCAGCAGCATCCCAATGCCTTGTGCGATGCTACCCCGAGGCATCCATACAACCGCGTATTCCTACTCGCGCGACGCAGTCCCATTAACTAGATCGCGTTATATCCAATTCACGTCATGAAAACACCACGCGGCGTTATAGGAGACGGGACTGCATTTTAATATCAGGGAGCGAAAGCTGCCAAATTCTTTTTTTTGCACAGATGGGCCTGATTCAATATTCATGGGACTGCAGGGAGGACATGCGGTGGATGTGAATGTAAACTCGCGGAATGCATGACAAAATTGATGTATGTGACCTTACCAGACACAGCATATCCTGGGAATTCTCTTTTTTGGGCCCAGCCAATGCATTTGTACTTTCCCTGCTACGATTAAGGACAGCTTGAGGTTTCCAGTGTGCATAGGGACCAGAGATTGCACTCATTAAAAATGTGGCCGATTAGCACCCGGAAGGCCAACCATTTAATCATGACACGTGTTTATCCTTTAAAGGTCCTCTACTGAGAACCTAGAATGACTCGTCTCATTTTCGGTTAGCTTTGTTAATATTTAGCAATTTACTTCCCGTTGTGTTTCTCATTATTTTTCTAACCCTCAAATGACACCTATTATAAGGCTTGTTTACGAGTTTATTGTTAGCCTAGAAGCACAGTAGATCGAAATGTAACTCCTTGAAAATCGTACATTTGATACATCCCGTATTTAGAATTGTAAACAGTTAAGTGGTATAATTATTTGAAGGAATTCGTTTGAGAAGACCATTGGATATGTGGAAGCCATTAATCACAATCAACAGGGTATGTATGCACAGCATTTATGTCTAAGTGTGTAAAAGCACGTGAAGATCAAATGCCTTTTATCTGAATGGATGCTGTTGTAAGCCCAGCAGGTAATGACACAAGTGTGAACTTTAAATTACCAAAGAATACATTCCGGAGGTAAAACACACGGTTCACACCCCCTTGAGAAACAGTGGGTGTAGTAGGGAACGCCGCTCCCTGGAAGAGCTACTCTGCATCTTAAGCAGTGGGTAGGAATGGCTCGCGTAAGGAATGTGTCGCACAGGAAAAAAACCTGGGTGAGATATTTCCTTTTCAAAGATTTCACAGGTTGAACATTCAACAAGCCCTAACTTTTGCCATCAAATGCTTTTGCTGTTACCCCCCCCCCCTTCCTACACCCAACATATTGCATTTTAAATAACTCAGCCTGTGGTAAACATTAACATTCCATGACTCTAGTATGGTGCGCAAAAGAGATTTCAGACTTTAACTTGTTAAATCTAGAGCAGCTGCTCCGTGCGTATCAGGTAACAGCTTGAGCAGGATACTCCTTCATCAAATGCCGACGGACGGGACGGACACTGTTTTAATAGACAATATTTCACTAAATTATTTGTTCAGTGTAAAACCTGTAAAGTGCCGTGTCAAACTAA